GCTCAGAATGGAATCTCCACTCTTTGTGTTGATGCAATAGTTCAATGCAGGAGTGAGTGATGCCTTAAAACTTATTCTGGAAGACAACATTGACCTAAACTTAAAAAAAGTACCAATACAACTGTTCGTAAGACAGCTTTAAAAAAAAGTCATAAAAAGGAAACCTGTGTCTATTTCATAACAAACATGGAGAACTATTACTGGGGCCTCTTGTACTTCCATTGCATGCACTCACTTTTTCAAATCTTAGACATGAGGGCAGCCAATAATAGCAATACAATAAAAAAAAACAACACTAACAAATCCATTCTACTTAAAACAAGTCTGTACAGCAGCCAGCTAAAAAAGCTTTCCCAGTTTGCCTGCTAAGTGCCCAAAAGTCACAACAGTTTAGAAAAGTCATGTTTCACTTTCTTGATGTTGAAGCTTCAGAGCCCATAAATTGTTTATAGAGTATTTTTTCAAAAGCACAAATGGACTCTTACTATCTGTGGAATCCTGATGTTTCAGTGTTATGTTTAACCTACACAAGAAAAGGTTTCCTTGTCCCCAGATAAGCACTGTTCCTCTTCTCTCTCTCCTGCCTACAAAACACACGTCACTTTCTTCTAACACCCCCCAAGCAAGAGGTGTACACAGCCAGCTGAAAACATCCTCACTACTTTAGAGATGTCAGAATGAACTTGATCTTGGCGAGGCCCAACGCACAAAACTCTCCTAACTTTGCTGCAGTTGTGCCTGTTAATTGGCATTTCACCTCATCAAATCTGAGCATCTCTGCAGGAAGCCTAGAGTTGATATAATAAAGGATTAGAAAGCTGACACTTATTAAAAAGAAGAATGAGCTTTAAACCTTCATGTCTTCCAAACAGGTGTTCACAAACAAACACCTAGATGTGAGGATGAATGGATGGCTCATGATCCAAGGCTGGCCAGTGTCCCCTGCTGGAGAAGCCTGGACATGGTGTGCCTACTGCACAAACTACAATCACCCTCCAACAACCACAGCACCTGTGTCCTTTCCCTCAAGTTCCAGCTGAATCATCATTATTTTCATGTTCTTAGGATGGGAGGTTTCACACACTTGGTATTCACTGCTCTCTGGCATAGCTGAAGCCTAGAGCTAAGAGGTGGGATCAGATTGCTGTGCTTACCTACCTATTCAAGCAAAAATATGTTCTAAACCCAAAAGAATGGTGTACACACTGTGCTTAAGCACTGGGGAGCGATTCCAAGTCAATTCTGATCATCTTTTGCTCAGATGCCTTAGCGGTCTTACTACTTCATGAAGAATAGACAATGATGAGTACCCTGGTATACAACTCTGTACCATGAACTATTCCCAGACAACACTAAGACATGGTGGTACTTATGGGTGGTGGTGTTTTGGCTGGTTTGGTCTCTGTGTTTTGTTTTGTTGTTTTTTTTTCCCAGTGGATCAAGCAATACATGGAAGGACTTCACTAAAATAAAGGATTTTTTTCAACTACCACTGCATCTAAGCATTTAACTTGCATAGCACACTCAAAAAAAAGCTTTCTGGAACAGCATTCCTGGATGTCTCTTAGAAACTTCAGGAGATGGTTACAACAAGCATAAGCAAGATCTAGTAGTAGGTTCTCTGTTCTCCTTCCTAGTTTTCTTAACAAACCACCATGCTACTGACCAGGGCTAAACAGTTTTGGTGCCAATTATTAGCCATTTTTCTTTTTGCTGCTGCTACATTTAAAAGACATTTTCATCAGTTGTTACTGACAAAGGGAATACCTCAGTTTTTTAAAAATACTTTATCTGAACTCAACACCTGAAATGTGAATTATTAAAAAAAAAAAAAATCTTTCTTGGACTTCTCTTTGTTATTGCTGCAACAGTTTTCAGTTCCAGGTTTTTAAGTAGTACTTTTTCTTTAATCATATAAAGCTCCAAAAGAATGGTGTACACACTGTGCTTAAGCACTGGGGAGCGATTCCAAGTCAATTCTGATCATCTTTTGCTCAGATGCCTTAGCGGTCTTACTACTTCATGAAGAATAGACAATGATGAGTACCCTGGTATACAACTCTGTACCATGAACTATTCCCAGACAACACTAAGACATGGTGGTACTTATGGGTGGTGGTGTTTTGGCTGGGTTGGTCTCTGTGTTTTGTTTTGTTGTTTTTTTTTTCCCGTGGATCAAGCAATACATGGAAGGACTTCACTAAAATAAAGGATTTTTTTCAACTACCACTGCATCTAAGCATTTAACTTGCATAGTACACTCAAAAAAAAGCTTTCTGGAACAGCATTCCTGGATGTCTCTTAGAAACTTCAGGAGATGGTTACAACAAGCATAAGCAAGATCTAGTAGTAGGTTCTCTGTTCTCCTTCCTAGTTTTCTTAACAAACCACCATGCTACTGACCAGGGCTAAACAGTTTTGGTGCCAATTATTAGCCATTTTTCTTTTTGCTGCTGCTACATTTAAAAGACATTTTCATCAGTTGTTACTGACAAAGGGAATACCTCAGTTTTTTAAAAATACTTTATCTGAACTCAACACCTGAAATGTGAATTATTAAAAAAAAAAAAAAATCTTTCTTGGACTTCTCTTTGTTATTGCTGCAACAGTTTTCAGTTCCAGGTTTTTAAGTAGTACTTTTTCTTTAATCATATAAAGCTGCCATAAAAAAATTATTTTTTTTTTATTTTTAAAAAAGTTTTTTTAAAGAGAAGCTTGATCTGAAATGTCTCTACTGCACTAGCTCTTTTCATTTGCTGAGCTCTCGTGCAAACACATACTGTGTATTTATTTATAAAGGAATTCTAAATAGGGAATGTTATATAAAAAGCAGGAGAGAATGTTTCATAAGACCCTCACTGTGTAAACACCTATTTAATGATGTACAGTTTCCCCCCGCAGTTTGATATCCATGCTTTCTACTATTTGCAACAAAATACCATTAAGATAGTTATATATACACATATTCCCCCCCTCCCCCTGCACTGTGCTTTTGGTTACTTTCCATATCAACTTCTGGAGACATGCTCCACCCTTCCAGTAGATTATATATTTGATCACAACTGGAAGGTGTAGTACCTTTTAAAAAAGGTACAGTTTCCCCCTCGTGGATGAATCCCATAATGCAACTTAGAAAAAAAAAAAAAAAAGTGCTCAAGTGAGACTGCCTAAATGTTATGGAATATTCTAGAGAGACAAATTCCACGATGACATTTAGGAATCTGAAGTTAGAGCAAATATATAGGAAGTTTTATTCGTTCCTTAACTATTTATCTATTGCAGCACTCATGAAAGTTCTCTCCTATGATTTTCAAACCTTTAGTTTACTTACTGGGTGACGAGAGAGGAGAAAGCAAAGCTTTGAGCTCACTCTTCAGAGATTCACTCCAACGCAGCCCTGCTTCATTCCTTGGCTCTGTGAAAATCACGCTAAGACAACACCACATCACTCTCCACTAGCTAAAAGGGACAAACAGCCTGTGTTCATGTTCACTGCACTCTCTGGCACACCTGACTGATCCAAGCTGCAAACCTACAACACAAATGGAGCTGTGAAACAGACTTGGACAAAGCCGTCCAGATTCAAATCAAGTTTGTCTGGGGTCATTTTCTGCTCCATATAAAAACATATAGAAATCCCTACACTGCAGTAAGTGCTCACGAGTAAGGTTTAAAGTACTTACCCAATATAGTTATGTTCAAGGCGTTAGAAATAAGGGGGCTGTCCACTGACAGTGATTCATGCAAAATAAACCTAAACTTTATTAAAAAAAAAAAAAAAAGAGGAAGTACAAAATAGGTTGAGTGCTCACTGTAAAATATAAAGTTACTGAAGGCTCTAACCACCAACAGGTTATGAAGGTAGGTGAGCCTTCCACCAGGGCAGAGTACTGGAATGGCAGCCTTAAATCAGCACTGATACTACCCTGAAGTACCTGCCAAACCTGTAGAGGAGCAGAACACCCCGAAACAAAGCATAACTAGATACATAACTTTAAAAAATTTACTTCTGAATGGAAATTAATCTACAAGAACAACACAGCCTGATACACCTCTGTGTAAACACTCAAAAGGGAACAACATTTTGTAACCATTTACTGCATAATTTATTGCAGGCAGAATGTATAAAAAAAAAAAATGGCATCTTCCTGGAATTGTAAGCCAAGCAGGTTTAAGAAAAACCTTTTTTTATGTGCAATATTCAAATTAAAAAATTTAAAACCTCCCCCATAACAATTTTGGTATACAAATGGGTTCCAAGGCTAGCCCTTAATCCCCACAGCACTTGCTTTGAGGTACTTTTTAAAAATTTAAGTTGAAAGAATTTCAGAAGTGATGCATTGCAATGAAATGCTGATCTGCAGTCAGTCTTATTTTACATGCTCTTCCAAGTGCAATTTAGAAAGTAAAATACCAAAATACTAAACAAACACATCAAAATGCTGTAACCAACAAACAGCTCCTACTTCAATTACAAATATTATCAGGAAAAAAAAAAGAACATCTATTGGAAACCTCTATATTCTGGCAGTCCTACTACAACATATCCATAGACCATACTGCAAGTAGCTAATAAGGAAATTGTGTTAAAATGATTTGTTCCCCTTTAACATACTCATCAGGCACACAAGCTTTCCTCAGAATAACAAGCAGCTCAACTCCTCCTGTCTGCTGTAGAAAGTCCCAGCATTTCTTAAGTTTCAGGAGAGCAAGCTGGATCAACTGCATACACATTTGCAACTGACTACAACATTCTTTAGGAAAAACAGCACGGATTTCCTGAACAGAGAACTAAAAGGAAGTGTTATGCTATCAGTCTGTGTGGCAGCCTCACTTTGACACAACTTGCATCATATGAAAGATAGTACTAAGTACCTATCTCCCCAGGACATGCAATTCATTCTGCAGGTGATGTCACCTCCTACTATTCCCAACAGCCAGTTTTGCCTCAAGGAAGTTTGCTTTATTTACTGGCACACACAGCATTACGTTTGTCATTTCATTCTGATCCTTAAGAACATCTGTATAACACTGAATCCTTGCAAGGAAAACAAAAAGGTATGAAGTAAAATAGTTGTGTTCGGGATTTCTACAGCTTGTCTGACTTGTTTTCCAGTCACTCCAATTTAGTAGTTGAATTTGAAAAGAATACATCACTTAAATAAAAATACGCCCCTTTTAAACTGGCAACTCCATCAACCTGAAAAAGGCTGAAGCTCTTATCTAATGTATAATATGGTGTTCTATAAAGAAACTCACTTTCATGGTTCTGCCTTTTAAGACCCTGCATACATTACAACAGTGCATTAGTGATACAAGTTGTAAAATACTTTTCGGTTCCTTTGGATTTGCATATGATGGTTTTTGCATCAGTCACTGCAGGTAGATTGAGCAAGCTTTGTTTTTGTGTTTTAACATGCATTCAAACTAGATACGGATCAGAATAATTTTATACTCCCTTTTTATCATTATAATTAGCTAAAAAATTGCAAGACAGTCCACAAAACAGGATTTGCTTTAAGACTAACTGCTGGAGTTCCAAGATGTAAGATATGCAGCACTGGAAAATCTTCAGTGATCAGGAATTAGTAGTGTTTAGCCAAGTGTTGAAAGCATTCAGAAGAAAAGTCCTGGTTGGAGGCATGAGGGCTTCAGCACCAACTTTTAAACCTCAATTTCTTGATTGCATATCTCCCATCTTCAAACCTACATTAAGAGGGGAGGGGGAAAGTAGGAAATGGTCTCAATGATGTGTGCAGAACAGTCTAACACTGCATGCACCACACTGAAAGACACACACAGCAGCTGTTAAGTATGATACAATGCTACCCTACCACCTATCCAATCGACTGACATCTACAGGCTTCTAGGTTAAAAATCCACTTCATTGATTTTCTCCTGCCATTTCATTCAAGCTTTCTGCCATCAATAGTAGACCTCTTCAGTAGAAGGTGCAATATTAAACAAGTCTTTTATGCTAAATTTATTTATCAGTAGTTATGAGTTTAGTCACAGCAAAACTTTGACTTTTTATTCTCATGTAATACAACACTCTTCAATGGAGTATTTCATGTGAAAAATTTCAGATCTGCAGACTGTGGTGTGAGCATCACAGCAAAGTAAGAAATGGCTGTGGGATTACTAACTCAAAGGGAAGAATACAGCCACCTGTAATTGCAGAACTCTGGACTCCTAACTGCTGAAACAGAAATTCAAGGAAAGATAAAACCAAGTTAACTGTCACACACTAGGTGGACTAAAAGGGACAATTTCTAGTTCAGCTAGCCTGACAAGTTCTTATTTTGAATGAAGCTGCACTCAATTTGGGCCATTGTGCCAGTCTGATGTGTATTACACTCCCAAAATGCATCCCACCTTATAGCAGATTTCAAAATTAAAGTCCTTTGCTTGAAAACTATGATCTAGATTTTGGTCTACACTAGTAACAAACTTTCCATTCTGACTGCAAGAAGCATGACCTGAGACTTACCTGAAACAGACTGAATATATGAAATTAACTCAAGGTTGTATATTTGTTTCAGCAGCTTCTGAGAAAGATTCACCCTCAGAGCAAGGGAAAGCACCTTGCCTACATTATTTAGCCAATCCAAAATAAAACTACAAAATTACACACATTGTTCATTCACAAATCACAGTAGTGATTCAACAGTTACCAAAAAATCCAATTCCATTCTTTCATACTCAACAATCACAAACCATTATGTTTCATGATCCCTGAAGACACAGACCACTGAAGAAGTCCCACTAGACTTGCCTCCTTTGAGGAGAACAGATCTTACACAAGAAATAATTTATGCATTCTTACTCAATTAGAATACTGTAGAATACCCTAGACTGCTTACCTTCTGAAAAATCTCCCTGGAAGAACCTGCAATACTGTCACTTACAAGAAAGATAAACTGTTTTCAATGTCAATAGGTAACTTACACTGACTGCCAGGATGATCACCACTGTGGGGGCACATAACTATAGGTTGGAGTTCCTGGAGCCCGATATGTGGGCATAGTAACTGGATGAGGGGCTACTGGAGTTGGGGAATGAGTTGTCAACAAAGTACCTAGGATGAAGAGAACATGTTTCAGTAAGCACCAATCCTAGTATCCTCCCCCAAAAAAATAAAAAAAGGAGGAAGAGAGTTAATTTTTTAAAAATCCCTACAGTTTGCCCTTCTTCAGATTTAAGATTCCCAGCATCATTTGCACTGCAACTACAATCTTCCTTCAAACATTTCTGCAAGAGAATCGCTTTGATGCGCAGTTGAATGCACATCAGGATATTAATTACTCAAAAATAGCTCTAGCAGCAACCCTGCAACATAAGCATTATTAACTGTAAAACTTTTTCCCACAATAGGCCTTACATGCCTTAAGAATGTTATGGTAGAAATATCTTGATCGATAAATCAGAATAAATTAATTTCTGCATTATTCCAGATAAGATTTTTACAGACTAAGTGGCTTGAGAACCAAACAACCTGAGACAGCAGGATCTCAACAGTCTTAGTCTACAGCACTGTAGAAACAGTAACAAACACCTGGGATAACAAAACTGCAGTGTTGCACATGTTACTTATCTAGGTTTGAGATTCCTTAAATTACATTATAATTTTGACAAAATAAAAACCAGAATCTGAAAACAAGCTCATGGCTCTTGTTTTTTAGTTTGAATTGAGCATTGTTTGAGTGCACGTGGACATTTCTTTGTGACTGAACATCTACTGAGTAACAAAGCATAACATTTCTCAGTAAACACTCACCCATGAGTCTAGGTATCGCTTAAACAACATTTCTCCAAAACACCACCACCAAGAGTGTGGTGTTGGGAAGCAGAGATCCCTAGCCACTGCCTAAAGCACAGCAGACCTGCAGGCAGTGCAAACATAAAATGCATCTCAGCATCCAAAGAAGGCCAGCAATTGGAGCTGTGGGCTGAGAGAACTGCATTCTCCCCAGCCTTAAGAAGTTGCTCCTTACAACCAGGCATAGAATTGTGAGGTGAGGAAACCAAGCTCCTGGCACTGATGAGAAGTGAAATTCCATACAGATACAAAGAAGAATTATTTAAGCATAATACTAATACCTAAAATGAGCAAGTGCTATCTCTACTTCCATCCTCTGAGATTATAAAAATACCACTAAACAAGTACACATCCTGATCTAGCTGGACCTGCTTTGAGGATGCTGGACTAGATGACCTACACAAGTCCCTAATCCAAACAACTTTATGATTCTGCCAAGCACATCTCTGGCATTTTTGTAATGCCGTTGTGTTCTGTCTCCATCTGAAAAGAAAGCTTAAGCAAACGCCAGGGTTATGAGTTCACATACCTGCTGACATTGCCATGGTAGTCCCAGCCACCATCCCCATGGTCACACCGTTCCCTCTTGGTGGTGGGATGGGAGCAGGATACATGGTTGCTGGCATGCCATTGGGCTGCACAACTGTGGTGTGGTGAATTACGTGGGGTGGTGCTGCATATAAAGGCTGTGTGTAGTAAGTGCCTTGCTGTTAGAGGAAAAAAGTAAAGAAGTAATTAAAGTCTGTCTGGCAGGGAAGATAAATGAATCTTCTTTCATGAATCCCTCATAAAAGCAATACATTATTCTAAAGATGCAATGTATTTACAGAGCAGAGGCCAAAACACTAATTTCAACTATTACAACTGTGTTTCACTGGCAATTTTTAACATTTAGCCTTTTTTAAAGACATTTAGGATAACATTCAGAAGCAGGGACCTTTGTAGAACTCCAGTGCTGCCTGTGCCTTCAACAACAAGGGGTCATTTGTCATTCACTTCCTGCATTTCATAGTTTTACATATATTAATCCATGACAGAACTAACTACTCACACTTTCACAAGGTTTTATCCAGCTACTTTTAGTTAAAGAATCAAAGGTTTTTGACAAATCCAAATAGACTAAGCAGATTGGATAAATCTTGTTACGTACTTATTAATTCCCTTCAACTACTGCGTACAAGCCAGGCAGGCTTCCTCTATGCAGGTTTCCAACTTCTCCCCAAATTATCATGTTTGCTGAAGTGGCTTAATTCTACAGTTTCTAATAGTTTTCAATAGTTTGCCTAGAATGAGACTTGGTAACTCCCTGAATCACAACAGAGGCATCCAAAAAAAGATAATAAAAAAAAAAAAGTTTGACAGTTTTTGACAAAATTAAATCAGGATATGGTAGCTCTAGCATTCAGCATGCATTTTTAAAATTACTGAATCTAGTGTCTCTTCAAAGACTGAACAAAATATCAGTAAGTGCAGAGCAACTGTCATAAGAGACAGAATGTAAACGTGCCCTCTCTAAATCACTGCATTAAGAATTCTTACTGCAGGCAACTAAAAATGAAGAAACAAATGTGATGTCAAGTTAAGAGTTCAAGCAGGTATTATAAGGCAAACAACGTACTACCCAAACAGGTGTTGGTTTTGCTCATTTACCTGTGCATATGGATTCTGCTGTGGATAGGCACTTCGAACTGGGTACACAGCAGTCTGATACGGATTTGGTGATGAAGAGTAGGGTGGCACTGCACCACTGGTGGGTGAACAAGATACTTTGTATGGGGTGCCTGGTGTATAACCTGAAACAAAGTTAAATCTGCATTAAAAACATGAAAAACAAGCGTCAGTACACTGCTTTCTAAAGTCATGGGTAATAATTTTGTGCATTTCCAAATTCTTTAATCTTTATGTGATTACTCAGAAGGCTGGTGTCAAAAACCAAGCACAAGTTTGGTCATTTACACAACACTGATAACAGTCTGGAAATATTACTTGACCGTGTCAACGAAGCATGAGAAGCTGCGTTTTTGCACAATTTTCTTTTCAAATCTAGGGATATGGGATAAAAAATTAAATACTGGGATTTGGCATATTAGGCAGCATGTTAACATAAACCCAGTTCAAAACACCTTCTGAGCTGTGCTAGCAGAACACTGTGATGGTTCACCAACCTCCAGTTACCTTCTGCAGAAGATAACACAACCTAAGTTGGATTTTTCAAAGAACAGAGAGACACAATCTGCACCTTCCACTCCAACTTACATTTATTCACATTTTTTCCCTCACGTTTTCTGAACTGGCTAAAATAAACATGAAAGGCCATACCTTTAAAACACAGAGACTATAGAGTTCATTTCAACTGCAAATTAGACTCCAAAGACACTTCAATACCTTTAAATTTCCTTTTTGTGTATTACATACATAGATATATCCTTAATCATCACTTAAGAATTATGTTTAGATGTTACAATTAGTCTACAGATGCCATCCAAAAGAGTTCTTTTGCACTCCTATCACAAGGCCTTCAAAATCAGTCTGCCTTGTAAATGTTGGGAATGGTTTCATTTTCCAGGAGGAGTAAGTAGCAACTGCTGGCTCAGACCCTACCTGAAGACAGCTCTTCCATAGTTTCTCCAGCCCCCATTAGACAAGATCTCAGGACAACAGGACAAGGTCTTTATAAGGCATGGAGGAGACCTATGAAAAGCACCACTGCTGCTGCAGTCCCAAGATTATACTGTGGCTTAATGGCCAGAATGGGAATGTGAAGGTCTTAGCAGCAGCACCCACAAGGAATGATATTTAGGATAGCAAACATCTAGCATGACCTCTTCTGGAGTAAGCATCAAAGCCCTAGCCTGTGTTAAGCTGAAAATATCTTGCGTCTCATGCAGGACTCCTACAGTAGGAGACAGAACATCCACACATACTATTTCTATTTAGGTGGAGTTGTACACAACACAAGGAAGCCAAAAACCACTTGGTAATTATTGGGAAAAAAAAAAAAAAAAGAGCCTACCACAAAAGAGATTAGGTTGACTTTAAAAGCTGACTAGAATGTGCTGACCTCAATGCAGAGAACAGATCTGAAGTCACACAGCAAAGAGAACACTAGCATTTGTGTTGTGAAAAACCAGTCACTGCAGGCAGCATGAGGCCAGATGACCTTCATTCCTTTTGCAGAAATCTGAGTTTCTTTCCAGTTTCATTCCACCCTTCAAACTAAAAACTGCTAAGATAATAAAGAAATAGGTCTACTACTTTTGTTTTTAAACAGAATTTATCACTTTCAGAGACCTTAATGAAAGCTACCACAGCACTTGCTCTGAGAGCAAGTCTTGCTTTTAGAGACAGTGAGTATTTGACGAAGTAACTTTAAGTTTTAGTATGGGGAGCTACTTGTGTTGAAAAACTCAGCAACAAAATGCTGAATATTACTGAACTACAACTATGTCCTCAGTCAAGCCCACTCTTATTCTAAAGCCCCACTGATACAGCTGCACAGGCAATCTAACTTCCATTCTTGAAAGCATTACACCTGTATATAAGGTATTCTCTGCCTTCCCATTTACTTTTTCTTCTCCTCTACAGGGAGCAATGACCTTAAAAGTAAACAACACGGCTATTCAAAATCACAGATATGTAAGAAAGATACCTGCAAAAAGGTACCTTTTTGACAAGCAGTGGCACAGCACATTCATATACTGCTTCATAATGTGAATTTGCAAAAGCTTTGATTCTACAAATAAACAGTTACATCTAAAGACTTAGTATAGCTGTTAGGAGAAAATACTTCAAGTTAAAATCTGCCTGAATTAAAAGATCTGGGCATTTCTAACTTTATCTCATAGCTTAAAGAACAGTTAGAAATTAAAGCTATTCTTAGTTCTGAAGTAAGAGTGTATTCTTTATGCAACAGCAATAAACACTCTATTAGAACTGGCTTTTAAAAAAATTAAGGACATTCAAAGACGGCATGGTATAACTTCTATAAACCTTTATTCCTTTTTCATACAAAACAGGAAAATCTCTTACTCTGACTTTGTTATATAGCACAAGAAATATTCCAAGATTCATTAATGCAAACTAATCTGACAATACGATTAAATCTAAAGCCCAGAATCTTACCCAGAAATCATAACCTTTTATTACAGTATAACTGACACAGGAAAAAAAACAACAATTAACTGGATGAAAACATCAGTCTCATGACCTGGTAAATTAATTACGTGCAGTTTATCTTCATCTTCTTGCAGTAGAATCTGCAAACTGCAACCAGCAATATTTCAGTTATATGATCCTAGGATCACAAATTACAGCTACCCCTCAGCTGCAGGATCCTGATGTTATACACAATGGAGCACAGAAGGCAGACACACACCATTGAAGTAACATCAACTGTGAAACTGAATGGTCTATTAGCAGTAAGAGCTGATAAGAAAGGCCCACACAGGGCTTTAATTTCCATGCTGAGACTTATGCCCCTGATGGGAACTGCCTTCCCTCAAACATTGCTCTCAATTAAGCAATCCAGTGTAAATGCAAGCAGGTACCTCCTAGACAACATACTTGCAAAAAGACAATACCCTACTCAAAGGATAGATTTAAAAAAAATTCATTTTAAATTACTGAAACTCAGACTATCCATCTGTTTCCTTGTTTTCAATTCAAGACTGAAGACAAGCCAAAATCCATTCTCCACTTGCTGTACCTGTAAGCTGTAAACTGAGCAGAGACACAGGTTGTACCAACTAGAGTACTTCACAGTTCCAAAGAAAGCTACACAGTTTTAAGAAGTTCTGCAGGTAAACATTTTTGGTTACTTAAGTCTCTCTCTTGCTTCAGTAATTGCTGACACACCCTTTTAAGAAATCAAAACAGGAAAGCTGGACAGGGACTTTTTGTAAGGGCCTGTAGTGATGGGATGAGAGGGAACTATTTCAAACTGAAAGAGGAGAGATTTTGATTGGACATGAGGAAGAGATTTTTTACAGTGAGGGTAGTGAGACACTGACATGGGTTGCCCAGGGATGCTGTAGAAGCCCAACCCCGGACATGTTAAAGGTCATGATGGATGGGGCCTGGAGAGACCTTGTCTAGTCGGAGGTGTCCCTGTCCATGCAGATGGGTTAGAACTAGGTGATCTTTAAGGTCCCTTCCAACCCAAACCACACTGTGATTCCTAAGCAGCATATCAGTCCTCCTCACTTGTCACACGGAGTCTGATTGAAAATTAAAAAAAATTTATTTTGTAAAATAAATTATTATTCAGTTTAGAACACAGTAAGCAGGACTTGGAGCTACAGTGAAGAGTCAGATGAAGCATTCATGTTTTACAGGAGACTCCTGTAGCTAACAAAACGCCTCATGTCACAAGCACTGAACTTCAATACTGCCAGCAGACTTCACAACAGAAGCTTCCCAATTTCAAGCTGCATCCTTTCCTATCCCCACAAATTCCATATGGGAGTTCAGGGACAAATTTAGTGATGTGCCATGTGTATCTCTGAAAAACTGGCATAATGTATTCAAATGACAGAGTTCCTGAAGATGGCCCAGACCTACTTAACAAAGCAATGTAAGGAATTCCTGACTATGCAAAATAAACACAGTGAAAATACTGTTCTAGCAGATGCATGTTCCTGGTTTGAGTGGAAATCAAATGCTACCGATTTCTGCTTTGTTTCAAGCACGTGAAAATAATCATCTTCTAAAAGATGAAATAAGAACTACATAAAACAATCTAAGTGAATTGCACTGGTTCTTCTTGTGTCTGTTTTTCCTTTTCCTATGCTCACCATATTCCATCTCTCTTAAGTGACAATCATGCAAGTGTTGTTACCTAAATCTTTAACCTGTATCTACTATGGACAAACCAGTGTTATCCAGCAACCAACTTTCTGAACAATTAGTTTGTGGAAAACAAGTTTGTGGAAAAGGGCAGAAAGCTGAACTTGGAAAGAAATATGGTTTAAGAAATGGATTAAAAAGAAGAATTTTTAAGACAACAGAAGGAAAAACAGGAATCTGGAAACAAGCAGGAGGATGCAAAGCAAGAATCAAGAAAGAAACAGTGAAGGGAAACACGATGGGATCTTCAAACATCAGCCTGAAATATAGAAAAAGCTAAAACCAGCTTTTCCCTTCTCTGAAGGCAAAAGTAGTGTGACTTAAGATTATGCTAATTGTAATTTAACAGATACTCCCTATGAGTCCTATTCAATGTAATGTAAAACATATCCCACAGTACAAGTGTTACTGTAAGCTCCTATATCTTTTCTGTTCTCAGTTCTTACAACTTCCAAACTTCATGTAACTGCTTTGACGAAATACTACACATACCTGTCTGGAAGGTAGGATTTGCTCCAGGATACATATTAGGGGAATAGGCAGGAGCAGCTGCTGCATAGCCCATTGGGAAGCCAGCTAGAAGAAAGAACACATCAAAGTTACTTTCTAGACTGCTCTGAATTGAGAAGAGCTAAGAGATGGCCTTCAACCACACCTCAACTAACACATGGGACTCCTCCCAGGCCACCTGCAGCTGAATGCAAGATGAAGGGAACAGCTAAGGAGTCACAAGTTCCACTTTCCCTTATATCCCTGTTTTCAGAAAATCCCAAAGTTGGCCAAGTAACTCTTAAGTTAGCTGGACAACAAAGTTTTGTGCAACTATGTGACCCTCCTCCCTTGTCACAACTTTTAAGGCCTAATGTACATACAATATTTATCTGATGGGATTTTTCCACATAAGTAAATCCCTAAAAAAAAAAATCAGTGATTCAGATTCTCCAGGTCAGAGCTACCCCAAGTAGAGTACAAAGTAACCTTGTATAGTCACAATGCTTGTTCCATTTCACATAGATTGGTTTTTACACTCAGTATCAAACAAGCTAACCTTGTGCGAAGAATAGACTATGACAGTTATAAGTTACAAGTGATTTGCCACTGTATTGGCAAAACAGTAAACACTTCTACCCCAGAATGTTAAGAACCACTATGGCTGATGTAACATTGAGATATATTGGTCTCAACCAAGGCAAAAACAACATTAGCAAAAGCTACAGTTACTTGATAGATACAAAGTTTGTTTATATTGTAATAAGTGAAATTGCTGAAATAATCATAGCACTTAATTTTTCCAGGAACTTATTTGCATTATTCCCATCCATAAAACTGAGAAATATCTGGATTTAGAAACACAGAGTTGCTACTACATTTTGTTAACAACATATAATGATTTCAACTTTGAGATACAAGGAAATTACTACTTGCATATTCTAAAGCTACTAGTTTTAATCTGCTATTCATATTTGAAGGGTTTCTATTTTGCTATAAATACTAGAGTCCTTTAGCAATTATGCCTAACAATAAAAATTCCTTAGCTTGGGACTACATATGCTAACCTAGTTTTGTAGAGCACTCTGTATACATATCAAATGACATACACTTGGCACTACTAAGTACCCATCAAGGATAAGACTAAGAAAACAGGCTGAAAAATCAAAACGTAAAAATAACATGCCATTCATAACAAGTTGTTGGAGTGTAAATAGCTCATAAGACTTCAAATTCCCAAGCTGCTAATGAAAAGCTTTAGTACAGCTCTACTCAAACTGACTGCCTATGTGCAACATTATTTATGTTGTATACATTTTCAGTCCTCTATTCTTTCTTCACAGGCTCAGCTCCACAGCAGAGCACTCTGAGCTGTTCAAGAAACAAGTTGTGAAAAATGTAGCTATGACAAGCAGCAGTTTTGATTTCTATTCAGAACTTTCATCCATGCAAGAACATTTGGATATTGATTCCTCGCCATAGTAAACCCATCCAACAACATCAAATAGGTGTAGTATAATAAAAACAGCTATTAAATATGCAACTGCTTCAGAAACACAGTCCCTTTAAATAATACATCCTACCCAGCGATATGTTCATTACTTTTTATTACCATGCAACCCATGTAAATTCAATTATCCTGAATGGAAAATCTGCAGCTTTTTATTTAGGAAAGGCAAAGAAGGGAGACTTAGCCATGCAGCCATTTTTAAAAAAAACCCTAACATGCAATTATACTTTTGGTTTTAGAGAATGTGTTTTGTATTTATCGCACAATCTTTAAGCCTAAACCAGGCAGCTCAGCAAACTATCTGTAACACTGTAACACTATAGAACTCACTGACTAAGCTGCATGTAGGGGTCACAGTTGTGCAAAGTGACTGGCTGCTGTCAAGAGGAATTCTGAGTGATCAACTTGTAGAATGATATTGAAGGCAGTTTTGTAATAATTTCACATCAATTCCCTATATTTTAGTTATGCTAATTTACAACCAAGTGAAGACTGGCAAATATCCAGTACCTAAATAATTCAATGGGTACTCTAATATGTGTAACAGTAGGAAAAGAGATTAGAAATTGTAATGTTGTTTAAACTGCTATTTATGAATCTACCATGGTGTACTTTCCTAAGTAAATTAAACTACCCCTTAGATCAGTACAACCAACTCTGGTTAATGTAATGTTTAGAAAATTAACGAGATAAAAATACAAAGTTGTATTTAAATAATTATTAATAATTTTTACCTAAAGCAAAAGAAAACCTTGACAAAGCAATGTATTATGAACATAGAAATAACTGTAATGTAGCTGACATTAATTAGCAAACCACTGCTGCTTGCCTTACTACAAAATTATTGTAGGCCATATAACTAAGACAGCTCCAAAGAATAAAACCATCCTGCAGGTCTTAGAGCTACACAGCACCAGCTTTGTAATTTATTACTGCACCATTTCATTCGCTCAAACTTAAAAGCACTGCAATACAGTCTGGCTTTTCCCCTTATACTGTAGAAATCAAGGATGGTATACTAGTTTAAAGGAAAAATTCAAAGTGTCTGAGAAGTTTTTAACAGTTTAAACAGTTTTTCACCAGCATTTAAAAGGAACAGAGAAAATTGGCAATGGGATAACAGCAACTCTAGGACACCACCTAAGCTGAAAAACAAATTTAAAAACTGGAAATACCAGTAGGAAAATCTAGTACAGCTACAAAGAATATCAACAATCATAGCACAGAACACTCTCTTGCTGCCAATGCAGGCACAACTAAATCAGAAACAGCCTCCCTACAGAAGTGAAAAAAGTTAAATTGCTTATGATACATAAAATCTGAGCTGAAAAGACCTTCAAGCCTCTTCCAGGATGGAATAATTTCCTCACCCCACAGATATCAGAAAACAAGGCTGCATAAAGACATACTGCTTGAAATGTCTCATGGAGGCACCAGCCCCTTCTCTTTGGTCTTCCTAGAAAGTTCTGTCCAAATATAATTATTGTCTTATCCAGCTCCTGAACTATGTAACATCAGAAATTAAGCATTCTCACACACACATAAGGAGATGAGGGGAAAAAAAAACCTGGTGACAAACCTGAAGACAAATGAGAAGCACAGAAAGCAATAAATAGACGCAATTTATATTTTAAAACCAAATTTTTGCCATTTTCTTGGCCCCACCTTTGATACTTGCTTTGGGCAGTCATAGAATATATATAAGAGGGTAGAAAGGTTTACTGCACCAGCCAACTAACAACAGAAATAGACTGACTCCTCTCCTTACAGGGCATAATTATTAGAGCTCCTAAAATAAGCCGCTTTGGAAGAAATATTTAAGCTAGAAATACCACACCACAACATGAATTATGAAATGCCACTTTTAAAATAAAAGAACAACACTCAAATCCCAAAACTCATTCATAAGCGACCATTTCTTCTTGATTATAAACTAAGACCAGTGTAACTGAAACTCATAAAAAACCAGAGTTACTTACCTGGATAACCAATTCCTTTGGCATTTGCATAGGGAACCCCAGAAGACCCAGGGCTATACACAGGATTCATGATTTCAGTAACTAAATAAGAAAAAAAAAAGAAAAGCATTTACTTGAGTTTAGGGAAAGTTTGAAATCTCAGCAATCAAAATGGAATTGGAAATGAGGAAAGCATATCAGAAGAAAAAGTAACAGAAGAAAAAGCAGCAATTCCACTACTCATCAATATTGAAACTAGCTACAATCAAGAGAGAGTCACTGTGGAAGTTTCAAAGCATCACAACCCTCAGGCACCAAGAAATTGTCTCAGTAATGAAACATTCCCTGTTGCAGGACACGCTTTCAAAATATATCCACCCCTAAGAGGACCTCATGGTGCACAAATCCCTAAGCCACTGCACGACTGCCCAAGTGCTGGGCTTCTCTCTCCATGTCATCTATCAATCATTTATGTCTCTTCCATCTAGCAAACTTGGTTTCTTGCTGTTTACTTCCTGAAGCATCCAGCCCCGAGATGCAAGTACTTCTGGTTTATTACTACCAGGCATTTCAAGCCTTTGATTCCAGTCCTTTAACAGCAATTAATTCAACCACGAGTAACCCAAGTACTACAAAAGTAAGTGGCAAAAGAGCTTCTGTATTAGACACCCAGCTCACTTTTATTTACTTGCCACTAAGCTCCTCAGAGCCTATAACAAGCTGACAGTTGGGTCCAGTCATTTCTGTATTATGTATTCACACATCAAAAAGGAGCCTACAGCTAGCATCACTAGCAGAAATAAAACTAAATCCCCACTTTTAAAAAGGATATTATACATCAACATCAAGGACAATAAAATGTAATTCAAGATGTTACTAAAATTCTTCTAGTACACCTGCAGACTTCTAGGAATACACATCACTACAGCACAGCTCACAAGCAAGCCCAGCATAAGAGTACTGTTTGCAGCTGCCTTTCTTATATCTTAGGAAAAAAATCCCCATTATTTTAACACAAGAATTGTCAATCATCTGATTTTCTACGTCTTTACAGATTTACCACTTTTTTTCCTGCAAGTGCCCACTACAAAGAGTCTCCAACAGCAAGACAGGAGGGCACACTATGAAACCAGACTTTCTTATTAACTGCCACATAAATATATACATATACACACTTGAGTAACTTCCTCTTCTACACCTTGAGATGTCTTAATTAAGCTAACAGTGTGTTAAGCAGTTTAACTACTTTACTAGCTACTTTAGGTACAGAAGACATTGTGGCAGGAATATGATTTAAGTTTACAAGTATAGCTGCACTGACAAACATATGTAAAGTGACTGTATAAAGCACAAGTTGTTGCTTTTAAAAGTAACACTAAAACTAGCCCTGTGCCAAGAGTTTCAGCAGCACCTAGTACACCAGAGAAGTAAAAGAAACATTTGTGCAAAATTAGTAAATCTGAAATTAAACTGCCTGAACGTTTATCATCAGGTTTCACAAAATGCTCAAACTCACTGTAAAAGAATTAGAAGATTCACCAGTTTCTTGGACCTCCCCATCTTAGCAATAATACTCACTTAAATAGAACTCCTTTTATGTTTTCCAGCTTCATACTTGATGACTTATCAAGACAACAGACTCCATTAAGAATGAATTAAAAACCAAACAACCTGCTATTTACATTGCTTAGTATGAAGAAAGCTCCCCAGAGCTGTATGTTTTAATTACTTTTTCAACATCAAAAAAGGAGTTTGACAAAAATCTCTTCAGAAATGTTCTACTAGTTGTCTTCAAGCATAAAGCAGTATTTCCCACTGAAGCCTGGTGGAGGTTTAATAGCACTAAATCTGCAGAACCATACCCAACAGCATATTTTGCTGGACTAGTATTTCACTGTAGCAAGGCTGTTCTTTTCTTCCCATATTTTGTGTATCCTCAGTTCTAAATAAGGACTCCCCCATTTACCTGAGAACTTTCAGTATGTTCCCTTAAACTTTCCCTGCGTTTCCTTCTTCTCATTCATTTAGTGCAGATTTTGTCACATGTTGTCACTCAACTAACAAAATCCATAAGAGGTTCAAGCTTCACTTAGTCTCACATTTCCAAGTTGTGGGGTAAAAGTCTTAAGGGAGGTGAATATACTCTTCCACTCAAACAGCACTTGCCCACACCCTCATGTCCCTACAAATATGCTGCTCTTCCTTGCAGCCTCTACAGCAATTAGGAAGAAAGAAGATCTTGTAACCCTCTCATCATTCTGAAAGGCAATGAGAAGAAAGAGGATTGGAAAACCAGCAAGAGCATTCTGCAAATATTTGAGTAAAAGATAAAAATACCCCACCCAACTATTAGAAGCATTAGTGACTGCAGAAGAACGCAAGGACATATATTCTGGGGGGATGACTTAAACAGAAGCCATTCAAAGCCAAAAAGGTACAGAAAATACAGAGAACAGAAAAGGTCAGACAATCCATCAGACTTGATCTCAAGAAAGTGCAGATTAAGAGAAAGCAATTTCACTTAAGTTAGGGGGAAAAAAAAACATATGGCACTAGGAGCCTGCAAGGTGCCTTGCTGGAAATAATGTCAACTTTGACTTCTAATGCATCCACACTTCAGAATCTGTGTGCACACACATTAATTCAACTTTGGTTCAACAGGTATGAACTCTCACCGATTCTGCTTTCACACTCCTGTCTTCACTACTGAACTGCAAGAAGAGACCCACCAGCCTCCAGAAAGTGCTTACAGTTTTCATAACACAGACAAAACTTCAGATCACTTCTAATTAAAAATAATTATTTTCAGATTTTCTCTGAAGGACCCAATATGTGCAAGCAGAATTACATGGTATTATCCAGTGGTTGCCATCATCTACTCTTACTGTAATTTTACTTGGAAGATCATCTGTTATACTGAAATATGGAACCTTACAGTCCCACTTACCTGTAATGCTTGGAGTCCACATCAAACGCTAAGGAAACTGGCATAAAGTGAACCCAAAGACTCTGGCTTTCAACCTTTTTCTTGGCATCCCCTCCAAAGCATTCTCATGTTAATGTCTATGTAAATAAGTATCTACTGGGCAGCATCTGTGTATAAATTGCACAGAGTCAACTGTATACAAATTAGAGCCAACTAACTCTTTCAGCTACAATGAAAGTAAACATATTTATTAAAGACACTTCAATTAAAGACTTCGCAAACGTGCTTGAGAAGTTTAAATGCTTCACCTCTCAATCTTGCCAAAGCCAAACAATCAAACTCGATTTTCATCACGTCCGTTAAATCTCATCTTGGGATGGATGGACAATCATCCTCCTCTTAAATCCCCATTTCAGGAAGCTGAGCACAAAGGCCCACAGCTTCTAATGCTGAAGCTCTAGCACCACTCGAAATTAGATACACTTTTGTAAACAGCTTTGCTGCTACACTCAGAATGAACAGGCTTCTAGGAAATTCTGCTTTTAAAAATAATTTTACACAGATACATGCAAAAAAAGCACAGATCAATGCAAATACTGTAAAACAAACTGCACATGCCTTTGCAACAGAGATCAGATTTTCTTACTAGCCGTTTTCAAACTTGTGTGGAAACACTATGAGAGCAGGAACTACTGAATGCCAATTTGTGCTACTTTATGACATTTCCATCCCATGGCTTGGAGAAGGATCTCTATTAACTAAGTACCTTTGTCTAAAGCACACTACTAATGCTTTTGTTCTTGGAACTCACAGACTGACACCAAGTTACAGTATTTAACATCGGTCCATCCTAGGTTATTTTTAGGATGCTGTTTACTATGCAACTATACAAACAGCCCAGTTTCCACTTAAATACAATTCCTTAACAAAGGTATTACCATCTTGCTAATGGCCTACATTTTACTCATTTATTTCCAGTCAAAGCTTAATAGATGTAAATGCACTTCCTAAAAGTCTGGTGGTTTGTAATGTAAAAAAAGTCGTTTCCACAGCTAAGTACCAAAGCAAGTAGTTCAGGATGCTTCCGCTCTTCAAGTATCTGACAATGATTAAAGTCTCCATTGCGTTACATTATGATACAACTTCAACTACCAAAATAGGCCCTTTGATGCAAAATCTAAGCCAAGTAACAGTCACTTTTGTGGCAACTACTCTAAAAAAAAGAGGGTTCATATCAGCAGGCATTCCAGACATCTTAAGTCTAAAAACACTTCCAGGGTGTACGTGGCATTTGCAGGTAGTGTATGCTTAATTTCTTCCAGTCATCCAGGACCTCAAAAATGTCACTGAATTTTACCAGGAAGCAAGTATTATCCCTGCTCATACCAGGGCACAGGTTTATGTTTGTCCATGACTAAATCCAGCCAGAAACAACGCTCAGAACTGCCACAATTCTGGCAAGCAATCCCACTCCCTGTGCTGGGACAGCACTAGTACTCTAACCTCTCAATAAGTCAGAACAGGTATGTCAACTAGCAGATTTTTCGGTTTTGCTGTAGTTTTTTAGCTTGCTATGGTTTCTTCCTACCGACTTGAGAGCCAAGACACATCACCAAATGCCTAAAAGAGCACCAGTTCCAGTGCAAGGAAGGTAGGACTGGACAGTGGCAGCACATATTGAGGCTGCAGAACCACAGCCTGGAAAAAGACAACTAACAACTTTGCCTCAAGTACACACAAAGTGAAGTATAAAGCTGGAAATATCATTCACATGCAAGTCTTCCTCTGTTGCTCAAGTTCCAAGATGTCCTTGTCATAAAAGAGAAAGGATGAATGATCTGCCATCACCCTTCTGTATTTCATGTGCATGCAATTTTGGTTTTCAGGACTCCAAAGGAATAGAGCAGTTTAGACTTTTTAATCTTTTCTGAATAATGGAATCTTTAAACCTATTCTACTTAGGGGAGTGCAGTTATGATTTTTCTGTTGAATAACATATTTTAAACACTCATACATTAACATCAATACTACTCGTACCCAGCATCAGTAAGGACAGAGATAATTATTCTATATTAAAGATTCAACAGAATTAGTTCTGTCAGTCACAGAAAAGAACACCTACACCAAAATGTGAATAGCAAGATCCTGCTCGCGAACCAGGTTAATTTGCA